AAGAGACAAATTACAAAATTCATATAACCTGGAAGGAGAGAATTAAGTTGACAGTGGTATATATATATAAAGAGTGCCAAGTTTAAGTACTAGCTGGCCCTACCACTTATTAAATAAATGACCATGGACAAGTTACAACCTTTCTAAGCCCCAGTTTCTTCATCAGAAAAATGGACAGAATATACTATTCAGTTCCTGAGATAAAATAACATAATAGATATATGTGTGCCTTTCAAATTAACCAGTATGAGCAGTAGAAGCTAGATGTCAGAGAAAACAGAGCACTGAGAAGTCATTAGATATGAAATCACATCCTGAGTTTACCATTTAATTGATGTATGATCTTGAGTAAACCTCAAACTCCTTGGTCCTCAATTTCATCAGATGTAAAATAAGAATGCTGCAACTCTCACAGGCATTTTTGTGAGGATAAGAAGATAATCTACATATGAAAATATTTATGAATTTATGAAGCACAATGCAAATGTAAAGTATTATCATTGTAAGCCAGTTTATAAGTACTATCATAACTTGGGTTTACTTTAGGGTGAGACTCAAGAAATGAGTTGGCAGTATGTCAATACCAGGCTCTCAATAACAAATGTATAGAATACTTAGCTAAATTTCCAACGCCATGTTTTGCACTTTAATGCATCAAACTTCAGGGCAAAGATGATGTAACACTTTTTTACAACAAACCCCCATAATACTGAACTTAAGTGTCTTACTCATTAGGTAGCTATTGAATGAATAGTTAAGAGAACAGGATAAAGTCTACGTAATTTCTTTTCCTATGTACTACAATGATTCAAATGTACCTGGTCAGAACAGCCATAAAAAAGCTTATCTATGTGCCCCTGTTGTAAGAGGCAGTGCTAAGTCAGCAAGTTTTATAGTTTATTGTTTTTCTACTACATGGATAAGAAGGTATGAAAAAGAATCAGAAGCTTTAAATCCCATTCACTCTGTCAGCCAGCACTATTTACTGAGTACCTACTATGTGACATGCACTGTTCTGGGCACTGGAGGTACAATAAGAAAATAAAGACCATACCCTCTTGGAATTTATATTCTAGTAGGGGGAAATCGTATTTGTAAGATAATTAAAACAGAGTATGTTATATGATGGGTAAGTGCTATGGAGGAAACTACGAAAAGAAATACAGAGGGACAGTGGGAAGTAGTACTTGTTATTTCAGCAGCTTTATTGAGCTATATCTCAAAATACCATACAATTTACCCACTTAAAGTGTAGAATGGCTTTCAGTATGTTCAGAGTTGCACAACCATTATTATAGTCAATTTTAGAACATTTTCATCACTCCATAAAAAAAGTAATCACACCCCATTTCTCCTTCCCCTTGGCCTCTGGCAACGACTAAGCTACTTTCTATCTCTTTGGATTTGTCTATTTTGGACAGTTCACTTAATGGAATCATACAATATGTGGTCCTTTGTGACTGGCTTCTTTCGCTTAGCATAATGTTTTCAGGGTTCATCCATGTTGCAGCCTGTATCAGTACTTGATTCCTCTTAATTGCCAAGTAATATATCACTGTATAAATATACTATATGGTTTATCCATCCATTCACTGAAGGACATTTGCGTTTTCATTTTATGACTATTACAAATAATGCTGCTATGAATACTCATGTACAAGTTATTGTGTGGACATACCTTTCCTTTCTTTTGTATATACAACTAGAACTGGAACTGCTGGGTTGTATGGTAACCCTGTTTAGTCCTTTGAGGAACTGCTACAGTTTTCCAAAACAACTACACTATTTTACATTCCAAACCAAAGTGTATGAGGGTTCCATTTTCTCCATATCTTTATCAACACTTGTTATATTTGTCTTTTTCACAATAGCTATCCTCGTGGGTGTGAAGTAATATCTACTTGTGGTTTTGATTTTTCATGTCTCTGATGGCTAATGATGTCGAGCATCTTTCCATGTGGTTTTTGCCCATTTGTAGATCTTCTTTGGAAAAGCCTTTTCAGATCCTTGCCCTTTTAAAAGTTGTCTTTTTATTGTTGAGTTGTAAGAACTCTTTATATATTCTAGACACAACTCCCTTATTGGACAGAAAATTGGCCAAAATTTTCATCCACTTTGTGGGCTTCTCACTTTCTTCATGGTGTCTTTTGAAGGACAAAAGTTTTCAATGTCAGTGATAATCTCTATTTTCTTTTGTTGCTTGTGCTTTTGAGTTCAAGCTTGTGCTCGTATGATCTCTGAGAATCCTAATCCAAGGTAATGAAGATTTACACCTGTGTTTCCTTTTAAGAATTTTGTAGTTTTTAGCTCTTACATTTCAGTCTTTGATCCATTTTGAATTAGTTTTTATATCTGATATGAAAATTGGGGTCCAAATGCATTCATTTGCATGTAGATATCCACTTGTCCCAGCATCATTTGTTGAAAAGACTATTCTTTCCCCATTGAATTTTCTTGGTACTTTTGTCAAAATTCAATTGAACATAAATATGAAGGTTTATTTCTGGACTCTTCAATTTTATTCCATTCAGGGAGATACTACTTGATGCAGTGCTAAGGAAAGGTTTCTCTGAGGTGCTATTTAAGTAGAATCCTAAATGAAGTGAGGAAGTGAAGCACACGGATATCTGGGGGAAAAACATTCCAGGCCAAAAAAAAAAAAAAAAAAATCCTGAGGTGGGAATGTCCTTGGTGTGTTTGAAGACGAGCAAGGAGGCCAGTGTAGTTGGAGGGAAGAGAGATGAAGAGATGAGAAGAGAGTTGGCAGACCAGGTAGAGCCATGATAAGGGTTTTGCCTTTTACTCTATGTAAGATGGGAAGCCTCTGGAGGCTTTTGAGTAGAGGACCAATGATTTCACTTACTTTCTAAAAGATTTACTCTGGCTGGTGTATGAAAATATACTACAGGAGAGAAAGATTATAAGAGAGACTACTTGGAAGATTATGGCAATGACTGAGACATGAGGAGACAATCACAGTAGGATTTAGTGGTAGAGGTCATGAGAAATGGTAGAATGCTGGACATTTTTTTAAGGTATGGATGTGAGAAAAGTGTAGGGCAACAGTTTTTTGGTCTGAACAACTAGAATGATGAAGTTACCATTTATTAAGATGTGGAAGACTATATATAGAAGGAGAAGTTTTGGAGGTCTGTATAGGGGAATCAGAAACTGGATTGTCAGTATGTTAAGTATGAGGTATTTACTAGATAATGAAATATGAATAGGAAATTTAATATGCACATCTAGAATTAGGGGAGAGATCTATTGTCAATGTCGAAGCCTTGAGATACTAAACTTTTCTGTAAATCCCATTACACAACTGAGTTTACAGTTATCTAAAACTTTTTAGTCTTTTACACATACACCATTAAGGTACATCATACTCTGGCTCTTTAATAGTCTTATGCCAGCAACTGAAGTAATTCCATCTCCAATTGTGTAAATTAAGTTGTTGCAGTTATAATGCTAGTTGTTCTATCTTAGGAGTGGGTGGGCAATCTGCCATGAGGTGAGCATTGCCTATCCCAGCCTCTTGCCTCTGGTGCCCATTCCATGCTCTTAGCTGAGTGTACCATGGGGCTTAAAGTGTTTACTTTGAAAAAAATCAGAGTGTTCAAGTAAGATCTACTACCATGTCCAAGGATGGCACAGGGGCACCAATTATCCACTCCTGACCTGGGGACATAGAGATAAAACATAGCAATACATGACTCTTTCAATGTCCTCTAATTGGAATGAGTTGTTTAAATCCTTTAATGAGGATCTATTAATTTGGGGGAGGGGAGATATACACTCAATTTTCCATATTTTTCTGTTGAATTTCATCTTTTTTTTTTTTTTTTTTTTTTTTGAGAAAGAGTGAGCGAGTGAGCAAGGGGCAGAGAGAGAGGAGAGAGAGAGAGAATCCCATGAAATGCAGAGAAAGAGGGAGAGAGAGTGTGGAGCCCAGAGTAGGGCTCGAGTTCACAAACTGTGAGATCATCACCTGAGCTGAAGTTGGATGCTTAACCAACTGAGCCACCCAGGCACCCCCACTGAATTTAACCTTGAAAAAACTTGGCCTTGCTATTTCAATCTTCTAAGTTATTTCTGAATCCTTTAATTTCCCTCAACATTCAACAATCCTCTTAATTTAATACACAATTATCCATACTTGCTAATACTTTCATCTCATTCATAAATATAATTAACAAGGTTAATTCCAGGCAGAGTTCTGTGACACACCTCCAAAGTCTTGCCTGAAGTTTGACACTAATCCATTAATTGGTTCTTTTGCCTATCATCATTTAACTGGATATAACTTCATTTCATTACAGCATTAACTAATTCACATTTACCAAACTTTACTAGTACTGGCCTACAATGATCACTGCCCTCCATTAATTTTCTATTTTAGAATATTTCTTTAGTTTGAAACATTAACTTTTTTCTTTATTGAAAACCTAGAACATTAGGTAAAATAACCCATTTTCTAATTTTTAGTGTTTTTCTGTTTGACTTAATAGAATCTGGCATCAAGGAAACTTACTTTATGTATTATTCTATGTGAAAAGAGGTGTGATTTTTAACATATTTAAATTTATTTAAATTTTACACCATGTAGTTTGCATTTTAATCTTGGGAACTTGAAATTTCACATACTTTATTTGATGGAAATTATCATTCACCTCCAAATGTTATTAACATATTTTGCAATCTGCACACTGTCCTTTCCCAATATACTGGTCATCTTTTAGACTAAAGAAACACACTAAAACAAAAATACTTACTACAGAAGTAGGCTGTTCTGAAAAACAGAAATGACAATTTTTAATTATTGTGGTAAAAAATTAAAATATCAACATTGTAATATACAAGATGTATTCATGGTCCATCAAGGTTAATAGCCTACCCTTACATATACAAAAAATGTATTAGAAGCACATTTAAAAACAAGACAAGGGAAATTACATAAAGAGAAAACAGATTACATATATAAAGTTTTTTAAAAACCTTACCTCCTCACAGCATCGCCTGCTTACAATAGCCCTATAGTCAATTCTATCCCAGAGTTGGTCCCTTAATTTTAAGAAATTAGGGAACAATTTTCTCCAGTTTTTCCCTAAAGCCCATGGAAAAATTTCATATTTGGATTCTTCTTCATCTTCTTCAACTGTATTAGCCAGATACCTAACAAAAAAGACCAACAACTCAAAAAAGAAATGGGAAAAGGACAAGAACAGGCAGTTCACAAAAAAATATATAAATTACTTACAAACACATAAAGATGTTCAACCTCACTCATAATTAAAAAATGTAGACCAAAAATAGAAATACAGTGAATTTTACCTTGTTGAGTTCTAGATATTTTGTTTGTTTTTTAATGTTTATTTATTTTGAGAGACGGAAGGGGCAGAGAGAGAGGGAGAGAGAGAATCCCAATCAGGCTCAACACTTAGCATGGAGCCCAACATGGGGCTTGATTCCACAACCATGAGATCATGACCTGAGCTGAAATAAGAGTCAGAGCTTAACCAACTGAACCACCCAGGCGACCCAAGTTCTGGATATTTTTGTATTCCTATAAAATTTGAACTTTGTTCCAGGATGCAGTTAAGTTACTTAGAAAAAGTCTGATCCTTTCAGGCCTCGCTTTAATGATTTGTTAGGTGGATCTAGAGCAATGTTCAGTCTGGGGTAATTATTCCCCACTACTGAAGCAAGACATTCTTGAGTACTCTACTCAATATTCTGTTAATTAAGAGTTTTTTTCAGTCTGGCTGGTGGGAACAGGCAAAATTCCCAGCTCTGGGTGAATGTTAGGCACTGTTCCCTCTAATCTTTCCCCACACCCAAGTAGTTTCCTTATATACATATGGAAATCAGTATCCTCCTAAATACATGAGGGGGATCAGGCATGCACAGAAACAGGTACACATGACTCATAATAAAAAGAATCATCAACCAAAATTGACACGTTAGAAGTAACAGACATTAAACAGACAAGGACATTAAAACTGTTATATTTACTCCAGATGTTCAAAAAGAACAGGAGACACAAAGTGTACTTCTAGAGATGAAAACTATCTGTACAATGAAAAATACATGGAGTAGGATTAATAGACTAAATACTGCAGAAGAAAAGATTTGTGCACTGAAGACAGCAATATAAACTATCTAAACTGAAACATATAGAAAAAAAGAAACAAAAATAATAGAGCCATCAATGAGCTGTGAGACAACTTCAAGTGGTCTAATGAAGGCGAAACTGGAGTCCCTAACAAGAGTTGGGTGGACAGAAAAAATATTTGAAGAAATAATTGCTGAAAGTTTTTGAAATTTTATGAAAACTATAAACATACAAAGAAGCTGGATGAACTCCAAAGCACAAAATATGAAGAAAATTACATCAACACACAACATAATCAAATTATTCAGAACAGGTGATAAAGAGAAAAACGTAAAGGCAGTCCAGACAAAAAACGAGACGTTAGATAACACAGAAACAGAGGTAATGACAGAGATTTCCCACTGGAAACAATGAAAGCACCATAGATGATTTTCTAAGAAAAACAAGCAACTTCCAATAAAAAAAGTGTAAAACATGTAAGGGAACAGTGTACTATAAACATAAACAGACCCTGAGGTCTGAAGATACTGAAATTAATAGTCCAACACGAAATAAATAAATCCTAAAAGCAATAAGAAAGGAAGGCAAATGATCCCAAGTGGAAGGTTTGAGATGCAAGAAGGAATAGTAAGCAAAGATATAAATATGTGAGTAAGTCCTTAAACAAATGTTCAGTGTAAAAACAACAATAATAATGTCTCAAAGTTTTTGGAGGGCTTCATGTAGAACCACAGAATTGCAAAACAAGAGAATATAAGTTGAGAAAGGGGTGACTGGAGTTAAAATGTTTACGGCTCTTGATTAAAAATAACTGGGATAGAGCTTCCTGGTTGGTGAACATGCAGAGATCAAGGGGTGCTGAAGGGTTATGGAAGCTCCATGCCTTTTCCTCATACCTTGCCCTATGCAAATCTTCCATCTGGCTGTTCCTGAGTTATATCCTTTTATAAGAAACCAGTAATCTAGTAAGTTAAAAAAATAGGTAACTAGGATAACTGCTGAAAGGATATAGACTGCATAATTTCCTAAAAAGCAGAGGAATAAAAGGTATCAAAAAATAAAAATTAAAAAGATCTCACAGAAAAAGTGGGACATAAAGACAACAAGATAGTAAAAAATTCAAATATATAAGCAATAATATAGAATATTATTATTCTGCAGTGAAAATGAATGAACTAGAGCTACACATATCAATATAAATGAATCTCAAATCATATTATAAAGAAACAGAAGGAAGTTACAGAAGAACAGTGCACATTATTCTTTTACATATAGCTTAAAAACAGGAAAAACCAAACGATATATTATTTAGAGGGTTATATACAGAATAAATAAAATCAAGAAAATTACTATCTGTGGAAGGGAGGGGGCTCTAACTGGGAAATTGTGCACTGTGAGCCTCTAAGATTCTGGCAATGTTCTATTCTAAAGTTGAGTCATGGGTATATGAGTATTTGTTTTGCTTTTTCTTTAACATAAACATATACACATTCCATATACTCCTTTTATAGATATGTCACATTAGAAAAATTCAAAAGGCACAGAAATGTATAGTATACTTCTATTCATATAATATATACACTGGTTCATGTATAGAAAATTATTTCTAGACAGATACACATGAAATGGTCATTGTTCTTGAGGAAGGATGCCAACGTCTTGAGACATGAATACTTACTTTTAATTGTATACCTACTTATGTCCTTTTAAAAAACTACATGCATATTCAATTTAGTTACATTAATATAAAAATAGCACCTACCTATTACTTTACCTTCCCTTAAAATAACTGTACATATTTTTAAATTACCATAATATAAAAGCACCTTATTATGAAACCCATTCAGTTATATGAATCCAATCATGTCCTCTGTGAAATTACATAATTTCTTACTTTAGTATCCTTGATAGTTCTTAGTAAAGGGTAGACAAAAGCCAGAGGTTGGCTCCTTTCACGCTTGTTAACCAAATAAAACAAAATCTATAACATACTGTGGTACTATGCTATCAGAACTACATTGTAATTCTACTCTAGATTAACAATTTTTCAGGCTCAATGTTATAAAAATATTTGTATTGTATGCATGTAAGTTGTCTTCTAATTTGAAATAGATTTTCTTGGAGCAGAGTTCATTTCTTTTGTATAATAGCTAATTATGCTTATCCAAATAAAGAATTAAGAACAACCACACGTTAAAGGATGCAAAAAAAACAATTTAGATACATGTTCCTTCCCTTTAAGCAGCCTATAGTCAAGAAGAAGAAGTAACTAAGTATGAAACAAATAACTGTACAAGAGAATATGGAATAATGACAATAAAAGTCCTGAGTGTTGTAAGAACATATAGGAAGGAAAAGAACTTGAGTTAGAACTGTGGCTAACTGGGACATTTGGGTGACTCAGTCAGTTACACATCTGACTCTTGATTTCAGCTCAGGTCAAGATCTCAGGAACTGTGAGACCGAGCCCTGCGTCAGGCCCTGTGCTGCACTTCATGCTGTAAGTGTGGAGCCTGCTTGGGATTCTCTCTCTACCTCTCAAAATAAATAAATAAACTTAAAAAAAAACAAAAAAGAACTGTCGCTAAGAAAATATTTACTGAGAATTATTGAGTCAGGATATATAAAAAAGTATGATTAGATATAAAATGGAAATTATAATCCATGTTATACAGACTACTACACGGTAAACTCGTGCTGCTTTACTTTACTGGTAATAACGTTACCAAAATGTCAAACAAATCCAATTTCAGGCATTTGTAAGAATTAAAAAGAAAGCTTCTTTTGGTTTGTTTTTAATTTGCAGGTAGAAAAAACTACAAAATAGATATTGTATCAACATAGAGGTATAATATAATACTAAGGAGACATGTTAACAGCAATGTAGCTTAGTGGTTAATCACTAAATTTGGCCACGGGCAAGTCACACCTGACTGTGCACCCCAGCCCTGCCACTTACTAACTTTTGTGAGACTTGGGAGTACTTCCCTTCCTAAGTCTCAATTTCCCCATATGTAGAATGAAGAGAATTTAATAATGTATCTCACAGAGAAGATTCAAGGAGCTTATAAAAAAACAATTTTTGTGGTGTCCTGCACATAACACTCAGTATTAGTTAGTACTATTATATTCCCACAGTTTATCAATCATCACTAAATTTTATAAGGTTCATTATCCCTTATGCATGGGGAAATATGTCTTCTAAATACAAGGAGAGATCAGTTTCTTCTAGTCCTATTTCTTGAATCACACTTTGAGTCTGAATTAAATAGACTTTGAGTAAAAACTCACTCATCAGTGCAAACAGTTGTTGAGGTATTCAACTTATTTTTTATATGTAGTTCCCTAATTAAGTACTTAAAATTATATTCATACATTCCCAACTGCAGTATTATATCCAGGTACTGGGTATAAAAAGTTTCGAGATTGAGATACATTTTCTTAAACATTGCTTCTAGTATAATTCTGACCTATAGGCTGGAAAGCCATGTTATTAAAACCATTTAACAGAAATGGTTAGTATCAAAGCTAGTATGAACAATCCAATATAAAGTCAATAGAAGAATAGAAGAATTGGAAAAAACAGCTATATTCCTTGGTCAAAGTTCAGTGTGTTACGTAAAAGAGTCAGTGGTTACTAAAGAAAGGTGTCAGATATGAATAACTTCTTTTTTTTTTAATGTTTTTTGATGTTTACTTTTGAAAGAGAGAGAGAGGCAGACAGAGCACGAGTGGGGGAGGGGCAGAGAGAGAGGGAGACAAAGAATCCGAAGCAGGCTTCAGGCTCCAAGCTGTCAACACAGAGGCACCCAGGCACCCCAGATATGAATAACTTCTAGGTTACAGACAAAAATCTATAATTAGTATTTCTGTAGCATTTTCCATAAGTTGTTTCATGTAAAAGGAAAATGATGATGACTTTAAGTTTATTTTGAGAGAGAGAGCATGCGCATGTGCATGAGTGGGGTAGGGGCAGAGAGAGAGAGGGAGAGAGAATCCCAAGCAGGCTCCACACTGTGTGGTGGAGCCCAACAGGGCGCTCGATCCCACAAACCATAAGATCATCTGCAAGATCATGATCTGAACCGAAAACAAGAGTCAGACGCTTAACTGACTGAACCACACAGGTGCCCCAATGACGATGATTTTTGCTATAAATTTACTGGAAATTTCAAACCGAATATTCTGGATTTTAAAACATATCTGAGTCCAAAAGAGGAGAATTTGGGATAATTTATATGGAGCACTCTGAAATATGTAAAAGATACAATACAAACCCAAGTGGAATACTGAAAAATAAATCTTACGCATATGGCAGGATAAGATCAGTGAAAAGAACATAAAAATATTCTATTAAAGTAAAAAAATATATAACTTCTATATATAAAGCCTATTCAAGGATATACATCAGGTTTTTAAAAGCCTCTGTTTTATTTTTTTATGGGTTGCAATGTAAACTTCATTTACTTATTTTTTTAAGTAAGCTCATAACCAATGTGAAGCCAGAACTTACAACACAGAGATCAAGAGTCGCAAGTTCTACCTAATGAGCCAGCCAAGTGTCCCAAAACAGACTGTTTCAAATAAGTTATCATATATATTATAAATAAGGACCACAAAAATCACTTAGGAGAAAGCATACTTACAGAGCAATAAAGAAATTTATCCTGGTATGCTCATTTATGGTAAATTTAGCTCTCTTGAAATAAACAAAGGTCATAGCCAAAAGATACTATAGGGAAAAAAGTAAAAGTTAATATTAATGTTTTACGTTCATACGTAAAACTGCTTTAAGATAGTTATCTTTACGATGAATAATAAGCTAAAAACAATAAAGCATTATCTATCTTTATTACAGAATTACCTATTTATTTGTGTCCTTATTTGCTGGCTTCCTGTAATCCATGTGAATGGTAAGAAATAGTTCTGAACCATTTATCATGATTAAGATTAGGAAGAACTCCTAAATTTTATTATTGCCAATATTTTTTGAACCAAAACCCTAATTTTTTTCTATCTTAAATTTCAAATACATAGAGAAGTTGAAATAATAATAAAACAAATAACCATACATCCTTCACCTAGATTCATCAATTGTTAGTGTGTTGCCACATTGGCTTGACATATGTATCTATACAAAAATTTTTTCCTGACTCCTTCCAGTTAATTGCAGACACCTATACTCATTTTTCATTCATTCATTCATTCATTCATTCATTCATTCATTGTGGGGGGGATTTTTAAATTGAGGTATAATTGACACAGATGTATATATTTAAAGTTTACAATGTGATGATTTGTTATATACATTGTGAAGTGAATAGCAAAAACAGGTTAATCAACATATCCTTCACCTCACATAATTATCTTTTTTCCCTTTTTGTTAAGAACACCTAGGGTCTACTCTCTTAGCAATTTCACATACTCACTTTTAAAAATAACTTCAAATCAGAAATTAGAATAATTTATTCTAATGGCTCTATTTTCTTCAGAAAAAAAGTGTTTTAAATGTGTTATTAGAAAGACATATCTTTCCTGGTATTAGGGCACTGTCCAGGTTCTATATGTTAAAACTAAAAACAATTAAAGTACTGATGTATTAGATTCTCTCTCATAAAATGCCTTTTTATCCTACCTTCACAGGATTCACTACAAAGGTGACTCCAAGTTTTCAAGATAACTTTCAGTAGAGAACTCTTAAATACGGTATGCATGGTTAGTTACTTTAAAAGCACTGCCCCCTGCTGTCCAGCAACTTTAATTACTGTAATGCATTTAAAACTGTAAAGTAGGAAACTTACAACTCCACATGCACATTATTACACAGCTATTTTATATGAAGGCATTAATATTAATTTTTAGAAGTGTTAGAAAAATTGTTATGTTTAAAAAGATGTCATCTTTTAGAAATACATCTTGAAATATTCATGGATAAAATAGTCTAGTTTTGGGAAGAAGGATTAGAAGAAACAAGCAGAGCCATGAGCTGATGATTACTGTAGCTCCATGATAGGCACATAGAGGTTTTTTAATTCTATTTTCTCTACCTCAAGGTATACATGTTTGAAATTTTCCAAAATTAATTTTCCAAAATTAGAGATTAAAAAGACCAAACTTCGATTTTATCTGTGTTATCTTAAGCTTGAAATAAAAAAGTTCACATCAATATTAACTTAATGTATATTTAATCATAAGCCAGGCTTCCATTCATACCTTTCCCACATTAAATGGGACATTAAATTTAAGTGTGAAATGAAGTCATGCTGAATTTTCTGATATGACTACCTGGTCTAAGATACCATTTATAAAGCTGAGATCATAACTGTTCTGCTAAATCTAAAAAGTACAGAAATATGGTCCCTAGTTGGACCATCATGTAAATCAGCATCATGACGATCTTTTAGAAACACAGATTCTGAAATAAAAAACACAAGGACCTAATTTTATCTATAAAATTATTGGGATTTGTTTTACCTATAAAATATTAACTGTATAACAGACCGCCTTAGTGAAATTAATCTCAGAATATTCAGTAATTCAGAATTACTCCATAGCCTGATAAGAGGTGATAATTCTGATCAAAACATGTTAAGTCTATACTGATTCTTGTTTTCAATCAGATAACAGACTTAAGGTCACTTAAATATAATTAATAATATTCTGCAATTCCTCAAGTATAAAATGAGTCTATGATGTATGCTAATTTCAAAAATTAATGCATAAGGATTACCCGTAGAAGGAGCAATGCAGGCTAGTCCTTTTCCTAACAATAATTAATAGGATAGAAAATTCTTATAAGGTTTTGTTAAAGTTCTGACGGTTTAGTAACATAATAATTACATCTTTACCAAATTTACCTTGTCTGCAATTTTACAGCAGCAGTCCATCCACAAGAAATCTTGAATTAAATCGTCATCTAGAACAAAAGATAGCTATGACTTGTCTTTTAAAAACAGAATGTCTCCTTTTGAAGAATTAATTTCAAGATAGGGGATTATAAATGATGCTTAGAAATCAAACAAAAATGCCTGGACAAGTACTGTCTAAAATGTAATTTTCACTTCTTTGGTGCATTTACTATTGCAAGCACTGTACAAAAAGTTACAGCTTTTACTCTTGGGTTTCCCATCTGATTTGCTCGGGCCAGAGAGGGTATGGTAGAAGTGTTTGGTTTCCTGACTATCCCAATAGCTCTTTGAGAAAGATGTCTTGGGTAACTGTAGATTAGCTCTTTATTACTTTCAAAAATCAATCTTTACTGGTAGAAATGGAGTCTGATAAAAGATAACTCAGTCTTTAAGAAATAATGACTAAATGAATATTACTGATTTTCAAACTGTTTTTACTCTTTCTACTACTTTCCCCTGTTAGGTCTCAGGGTATTTTCAGTTTTGAATTCTTCTTTTCACCTATTTATCTCTGTCCAATTATCTATTATACAAATAATAATGAAAATGTCTATATAAAGATTCATAATTTATTAGCTATTTACAATTAATACTTAATTCTGGAAAAACTGAGTATTATGACAAAAGATTAACAAAAATACTTTTAAAATATGCAAAAAGTAGGTCAAAAGTACTTACTTCAATTTTAAAAGGTCAAAATATATAATCCCCAAATATATGAGTAGTTGTCTGAATACAATCTGAGAAAATCTGCTTTTTCCATTCCCCCCTTCATTTTAAGTTAAATAACAAACAAAACATACTTCTTTACACTAATTTTTACATCCTAGAAATATCAATATGGTCAAATACATGGAAAATTCCAAGAATAAGTACACATTTTCTTAGAATTAATTTCTGCCTTGTTAATTCCATTTTTTAAAAAGTAAACTCTACACCCAACATGGGGTTCTAACACACAACCCCAAGATCAAGAGTCTCATGCTCTACTGAGCCATCCAGGCATCCAGCTATTTCTTAAATTACTTATGGTAGAACCAGGTATTTTCTATTTTTCAGGATCAGCTATGAATAATAGAAAAGTTTGTTGGTAATAGTTTTGCACTAGTCTTAATAAAGAGAAGGGGGAACTTATATTGAGTATTATACTTACACTACTTACATTTTTTCTTTTTAGCTCATCTTCTGATTTTACTTTACTTTAAATCTTAACCAGCTTGCCCTTTCTTTTTTTTCTTTCTTTTTTCTTTCTTTCTTCTTTCTTTCTTCTTTCTTTCTTTCTTTCTTTCTTTCTTTCTTTCTTTCTTTCTTAAGGTTTATTTATTTTGTGAGAGAGAGAAAGTGCGAGTGGGAGAGGAGCAGAGAGAGGGAGAGAGAGAGAATCCTAAGCAGGCTCTACACTGTCAGTGCAGAACTTGATACGGGGCTCGAACTCACAAACCATGAGATCTTGACCTGAACTGAAGTTGGACCCTTACCAACTTAGCCACCCAGGCACCTGCCTGCCTCTCTTTCTCTTCCTTCCTTCCTTTTCTCCTCCTTCTCCTCTTCCCTTCCTTCCTTTCCTCCTCCTCCGCCTCCTTCTTCTCCTTCTCCTCCTCCTTCTTCTCCTTCTCCTCCTCCTTCTTCTTCTCCTTCTCCTCCTCCTCCTTCTTTTTTCATATTTTTTTTTTTTTTTAAGATTTTTGTCTTCTGAGCAGGGCGAACACTCTTGTCCCCAACTGACTTCTGCGTGTTACCTGGATCTAAGAGACTGTGGTACCTACATGACTTGATTCACTCCTACAGATATTTACCAGAATCCATCTATCCTACCCTTTAGTCTAATCTGTCTACCTTACTACCTTACCTTAAAAAAAAATTCGTCCCTTCCTTGGCTACTAGAATATAAAAAAGTTTCTTGTTTTAAGAAATTTGTCAGCAAAGTAGCATTGTCTCATGATCTGAACAGATAAATTTAAACTCATTTCATGAGCATGATGATAAAGCATAATTTTTAAAAATATTCCCCTGGGACCCCTGGGTGGCTCAGTTGGTTAAGTGTCCAACTCAATTTTGGCTCAGGTCATGATCTCATGGTTCCTGAGTTTGAGCCCTGCATCAGGCTCTGTGCTGACAGTGCAGAACCTGCTTGGGATTCTCTCTCTCCCTGGCTGGCTCAGTAGGAAGAGCATGGGACTCTTGATCTGGGGGTCATGAGCTGGAGCCCCACACTTGGTGTAGAGATTACTTAAATAAAAATAAAATATTAAAAAATAATTCCTGGGGCGCCTGGGTAGCTCAGTCAGTTAAGCATCCAACTCTTGATTTTGCCTCAGGTCATGATCTCAGAGTCATGGAATCAAGCTCCACTAAGCAAGGAGCACGGAGCCTGCTTAAGATTCTCTCTCTCCCTCTCCCTCTGCCACTTCCCCATGTGCACATGTGCTCTCTCGCTCTCTCTCTCTCTCTCTCTCTCAAAGAAAAAAAAAATCCCTACATATAATACTGAAACTTCTCGAGGTTGGCCAACCTTCCCAGTTTGCTCAGTTTCAGCACTGAAAATCCTGGGAAACACCTCAGGCCCAGTCAAACTGGGCTGGTTGGCTCACCTGAGACTTTATGTAGTATTTTACTTAGGTCACACAAAACTCATGCTATGAACGTGAATTGCTCAGAATTCACATTTGACACTTGGATTTAAGTAGTCTAGAAGCAAGATGAATCTGAACTTCAAATCCAAAAGCAATCCAAAACAACAAAAATCCAACATTAAAAAAAAAAAGAGAGAGACAAACCCTAAGTAAAACAAAAACAAATTGATTGGAGACAGAAAATCTGACATAGAAAATAACAACATCTTCTTTGATTATTATGAAAATAATAAAGTAGATCTTTAGATTCTCTCATTTTTAAGTACCTTACAATTACTGCTATTACAACATTTTAAACGTACCAAATAATTTAAAGAAAGCAGTCATTTCCTGTCGCTGTATAACTAGACAGGGTCCTTTGGGGCGTTTAGACTTGTTGCTATTATGTGCATTTTTTTCAGATGCTGGCCAACTATCTTTAAAAATAGGACGCTTCAGATTAATGGGTTTTTTAGGCTGATGTGATCTATTTGACCCTGATTTTACATGAACAGTGACAGTAGGCGGTGTCTCACAACACAGCTGATTATGTCTCATTTTGGTTTCCCAAGATTCCTGTAAAAATAAAACATAATAATTTACCACACTCTTGTTCATTTCTATATAAAAACAACTAATCAGATGACATTACCAGATGCAGTCATATAAAATGTTATTGAACTTGCTACTAAAATACTATTTGTGATAGTAACTCACATAAGAAATTGTTTTTATCATTCATTGGTAAGAAATGCTATGTTTCCTTTGGGTAACTGATAACACCTTCTCTTCTCAGTAAGATCCTGTATACCATTTTGCTTTGACTACTAGGGAACCCAAAACCAAATTTGAAAGTTAATTAGAGAAACTATGCTGCACTTATAATCTATTTGTGGTATTCTTTTTTCCTAAAGTTTTAAATTCTGCTTCTACTGACATACTTTTATCATATAGTTGTTATATGACACTTCAAACTTTTTATAGAACAAGGCAAGCTATTTCCAGAAATAAATTATTATCATATCAAATCTTACACTGAAAGTAATCCACCTCCCCACACAAAATATTTTCTTACTGGTAATTCTTTGATATGCTACAAAAATCACTTATTCAACAAGCATTTACTGGTATTTATTGAAAAGTTAAAAACAATTCTAGCAAAGAAATGTAGGGTATACGTGAGGGATTCTCATAAATTGATCACTCTAATTTTTAAATTTGTGAGTGTATGACTTAGTGGTTAAATGAGCCATTGCTTTAGGGAAGAAAGATGGGCTTATCACTGTTTCGTTAAAATAAAGTAACTCTTAAAAAACAGTATCCTTATTGAAATGACTACAGCATTTTTCTCTATCATAACCACAAACTGTTAATTTGAGTGATTGATTTTAAGTGTATATGAATGTACAGTGTTATAATAAAATTAGAAACAAAGTTAATTCATCAATATTTAACAATATGCATAATCACTACCATGTTTGGTGGTAATTAGTTCACATAATTATTACTACAGTTTGTATTACTTTTGTAATACCTTTTTTATACGGTGGTAGGAAATGGACATATGCATAGGCAAAGCAGGAAACTACTCTGAGATCCTAATGAGAACTTCTGAACCCATAACTCACAGTGACCCAAGCATGGCAATCCATAACTCACAGTGACCCAGGCAGCCATGCCTCCCTTGGTGTTCAAGGAGTTAGGTACAGATTCTCCTTCCTGACCCTCAGAAACTTCCCTGCTGAAGGAAGGAATGGAAAATAAGATTGGATATAGTAGGGCTAGATCAGCAATGTCCACTGTAATGTGAGCCACATTTGTAATTTTATATTTTTAAAGCCACATTAAAGAAGTACTAACAAGCAAATGAATCTTCATAATATGTTTTATGTAATCTGGTATACCCAAAATATCATTTTAGTGTATAATCAACATAAAAATTAATGAGATATTTTACATACTTTATTTTTCATACTGAGTCTTTGAAATCTGGTGTGTATTTTACACTTATAGTAGGTCTCAATTCAGATGCTAAATTTCCAATAGTGAGAGTGAAAAGTAGTCCTACCAATACAGTAAAGTAGCGTGTAAGGGACAAATATTTTACACTCCTTCAGTACTTAATTTTAAATTAAAATAAAAAATTTTCAGTTGCACCATCCACATTTCAGGTGCCCAACAGCCACATGTAGCTAGCAGCTATCATATTAGACAGCAGAGGGCTAGATTATGAAAAACTAAGCAGAGGAAATTATATTCAATTGATTCTATAATTGCTCTCCTCCCTCTGTTTCACTTCCCTCCCATCCGCTCATCTTTCTTCTTATATCTAAGGTCCAACCAAATTTAAGGCAATTACGGAGTTGGGGATGGGTGCTACAAACTCCATAGAAAAAGGAATGGGTGATAAATTGAACCTTGAGACTTCAGAACTTTCTGCTCTTTCCTACCCACCTCGTCTGGGAGACAGCTGGAGGTCTCATCTGCATCTTTTTTTTTTTTTTTCCCCCGAAGTGAGAGCAGCCTTACAATCTAGATGGAAAAAATTAAAGTCAGGCTTCCCAAACTGGGAGCTAGGCTTGGGGGTGGAATGTGCCAGAATATAGAATAACTATGGCGTATCTCCCAGAAGGTAAGTTTTACTCAATGTTAGGTAACTTTAAAAGTGTTGTTATACTAAGATAACCACGGACATATCATGAAACCAGAAGGCAAATTTTGTCAATCAAATAGATAAATATGTTCATAGTATAGCTTTACACTATTCCGTTAAATTCTATATATGTGTTGGGATACTTCATATGAAATTTGAGGAAATAGAGAAAGAACTGTGAAATTCCCCAAACAGAGATTCATTGAAGTTAATCAGCAAACACTGGCAGAAAAGTTATGGAGACACTAAGGAGAGAAGCGATCAATGCTACATTCTTACTCGTATTCCACCTTGAGGTAGTTTTAAATTATGCTCTTCATTTAGATGTACTGAAAATAGAGTTCTCATGGAAGCAAGAGGAAAAGAATGCAAGGCAACTAAAAATATGAGAAAGGGTAAGAGACAGGGAAGAAGGAAGGAACCAGAAGAAACTACACTCAAATGGCAAAACCCTGTAGTGGGTTTTTATGTGGACTCCACCAATCTGAAAAAAAATTGTACCAGAATTCACACTTGAATAGGATGTCTGGGGTTTTTTTCCCCCCCTTTGGTAAATATACCACAGCTAATTTATAGGTATCTAAAATAAGTTGTTTTCTCTGGGGGTAATATAAAGAGTGTTAGGGTGTGGTGCACAGAATCATGCGACAGAATCAGTACTGGGAGACTCAGCTGCCTATATGAAAAATCTAATAGCAACATCTGATGGCGATTCAGGGCAGGCAGGGAAACCTTAACTTCCTTATAATTGCAGCCTTACACTGAACACTTAATATGTGCCAGGCACTGTGTGAAAAGTTTCACATGCATTATCCCATTTAATCCTCAGAACATTTCTATAAAATGGGTTATTATTTTATCCTTATTTTCTAGATGAGAAATTTGAGGCTTGGGGAAGAAGAAATTTGCCCATGGTCACATAATTAACGAGTGATAAACCCAGGATTTGAATCCAGGAATGTCTGACACCAAAGGCCCATATCCTTTAACCACCAAAGAAGTGTTTTCAAAATTAAATGAAATCATGTGTAAAACATCATGGTATGCAGCCCGATATTACTTACTGTCACCCTGCCAGGAAAACAAACCCAGCTTATAAGCTTACACTTTATAAAAATTTAAGTCAAGCATTTGCATGGTCAATACGCAAAATAAATTGTGACTTAGTGGTCAAATATTAGCCATTGCTTTAGGGAAGAAAGATGGGCTTACCACCGTTTTGCTAAAATAAAATAACTCTTAAAAAACAGAATCCTTATGGAAATGACCACAGCATTTTTTTCTCCATCATAACCACACACTGTAAACTGTTAAAAAAAAACAACACAGCAAATTTAAGAAAAAAAATTCTTGGCAAAACTGCTGGAAGCTTTGCTGGGGCTATTATCACAACTCCATAATTTTGATTTTTAAATATATATATATTTTTCTAATTTAACATCTAAATGGCTATTGAATACTTTTGGCCTCAGCCAAGTGCTAGGTGCTACAGCACTTGTAAAATTGCAGGGCAGAGCTGTTT